TTCAACGTACAGTAAGAAATTAAGTTCATGGTCGGAACAAGACCGAACACAAGTGCGAGTCGATTCGGTATTATCCACTAAACAGCGAGAAATTTCAAGTGCAAAAAAATTCGCACTTCAGAGGAACATTTCGATTACGCCGTGCAATAAGAAATTGGCTTCGTGGTTGGTTCCGTGCCGAGTTAATTCGCAAATACAAAACGACTTCATTCTTTTGGGCCGAGAAGAGACGCGAATTATCGACTAAAGAGGAATAAATTTAGGGGGATGGATGATTGAAGAGCGAATAAATTCGCACTTGCAAACAAGCATTTCCATTATGAAACGGGGGCTTGTGGACTAAAGAGTCAAAAATCTGGGGGGATGGTTGGTTGAAGAGCGAATAAATTCGCACTTGCAGACGAACATTTCCACTATGAAACTGGGACTTTTGGACTGTAGAGTAAGAAATTTAGGGGGAGGGTAAATTGAACAGCGAATATATTTGCACTTGCAAACGGGCATTTTCATTACGAAACTGGGGGTACAAGTGCGAGTTAATTCTGACCTATGGACTAAACATTGACAAATTAAGGGGTTGGTTGGTTCAAGAGCGAATGAATTCGCACTTGTAAACGAGCATTTCCATTACGAAACTGCGGGTACAAGTGCAAGCTGTTTCCGGCTTGTTCTGCGTGTAGTACGAGCCACAGATCGTCGCAAGGGAGAAATAGGGAAAGATGGCGTGCTATCTTTTAAGATGGAGAAAGATTGTGAAGCGATGGGCAGACGGTGCATCGATGAAAATACATGGAGAGAGATGGCGCACCGAATGAGAGAGATGGCGCACCAAGAGAGAAGGATGGAGTCACAGTCTTCCCCCGAATACAACGTCTGGTCATTACAGCTGAATTCGGGTCATCTTTCAGTCTAAAGACAACTGTAATGAAAGTGCGTTGTATATTCCGGGGAGGAAGGTGGATGGCGTAGGAAGGGAAAGACATCGCGAACTGATTGGGAGGTGTGCCGCAGCGAGAGAGAGAGATTGCGCACCGATGGAGAAACATGGCGCAACAATGGAGATAGCAGGCGTAGCGATGCTTAGCGGTAGCACAACAATGGAGAAAGATGGCGCACCGAAGCAGATAGATGACGATGGAGATAGATTGGGAAAGATAGCGCAGCGATGGAGATAGATGACGAAGGAGATAGATTAGGAAAGATAGCGCACCGAAGGGGATGGATGACGAAGGAGATTGATTAGGAAAGATACCGCAGCGATGAGGATAGATGACGAAAGGTCGGTAGAGATCGCGCATCGGTGTAGAGAGATGGAGAGAGGAAGCACAACAATGGTTAACGATGCTGCAGCGATGGAGAGAGAAGGCATAGCGATGACCAAGATTTGTTATTGCAGAACATCAGTTCCATGGAGTTAACCCTTCGTTAAGCATACCTGTCACCTGTTTCGTGCGATTCCACAGTGATGGGCGGCTGCACCGACGACGGCCTAAAACAACAATACAATGGCGATGGCGGGATCGCGCACGAGTAATGGAGAGCCTCTGGGGCAAGGATGGAGGTTGCCCAGTTATCGAGAGAGATCGCGCAGTGATGGAGTGAGATGGAGAGTGATCACTCAGCGATGGAGGGAGATCGTGCGGCGATGGAGAGAGAAATCGTGCAGCGCTGCGGTGGGATAACACTGGCCAGGGCTTCGATAGCGATGGCCAGCGCYGCGGTGGAGAGCGATGGCGCACCGGTGGAGAGCGATGGCGCGGCGATGGAACGCGTTACAATGCAGCGATAGCAATAGCGATGGCGGCGATGGAACAACGATAGCGATTGCGCACCGGTGGAGAGCGAGGGCGCAGAGGTGGAGAGCGATGGCGCAACGATGGAACAGCGATAGTGATGGCGCAGCGATGGAACAGCGATAGCGAAGGCAGCGATAGTGATAGCGATAGCGATGGCAGCGATAGCGATGGCGCACCGATTAAGAGATGGTGCAGCGATGAAACCAACGTTGCGATGGCAGCTATGGTACCAGCGTTGCAATGGCGCAGCGATGGCCAGTGCTGCGATGAGAGCGATGGCGATTGTCAGCGCTGCGATGGTCGGGCGAGCGCGACGGCTGCGATGGGGGATATAGCTTTGCGTTACGATGGCGATGAGCTAAGCGCATCGATGGCGATGGTGCATGGCGAGTGTTGGCGATGGCGATAAGCTAAGCGCATCGATAATGATGGTGCATGGCTAAGCGCATCGATATCGAACGCCGTTGACATTTGCAAAATGTCCGAATGACGGCGACACCGGAACTTATAGATTTCCGGTGTTTTTGACCTCGGCGCACAACGAATCGCTGCACCTCGGCGGGAAATAAACTGTCGACTAGCCTCGGCGCGCAACGAACCGCCTCGGCGCACAACGAATCGTCGCACCTTACAGATTCTTGCGCCTGACCTCGTGCGTCGGATCATATCGATCGACAGTCCAGATTACAACTGCGAAAATGACATTGCCTGCCCCTTGTTTTCGGGAACTGTCACATCATTGCACGCTGGAGTAGACGGAGATTTTGGGGCCACTGGCATAACAGTGGCTCCGTTCATCTGCGCGGTTGAAAATTGTTGATCGACGGCTGACAATTTTCGGTGCCCCTTACCGTTTATAGGCCCTGGCGTTTTATGGGCCCAGGGGTGCGATATGCGAAATGATTCGTCCCCACCTTGATCCGGACGCGAGGCCTGCTGCAACAAAGTATAAAAGGCGTTGCAGCCCATCGAGTTATCCCTTTTGTTGGCGCTCCACAGATCAAGTCCGACTATCGCTTTCGCGCACATTCTGATATTTGGCCTTCAGCCCCCCCCACCTTCCGCCATAGCCCGCTCACTCTTCGCTCTTCACTCCATCCGCAGTTGCCACATTATGTTCGGTTCGCTCTTCGCTCCTCGGTCTTCGCTCTTCCTCGCTCAACGCACGACGAAGGTAAAATCATATAACTTGAGTTGTCCTATTCTGTGTCCGACGTCCGAACACATTCCCAGATGCCCTGTCTGTACCTGCAGGATATAACTCCGCAGCCGAGTTCTGTTGAACCCCGAATCAATTCCCGGTTTTGTTGTTTCGCCAGTGGACGTGCTCTGATCTCTTTTCTCCACCCTCCACCTCCGTCCGCAATAGCCGATCCGCGTTCCGCAGCTCGATTACCTTTCGCAATAGCCACGATAACGTTCGTATAACGTTGCTCGATCCCCTTCGCAAGTTGCAGTCGTCGCTGTGCATGGCAAACCCCGAATCAATACCTAGTTGCCACACTGAACACCGAATCAATTCCCGATTTYCGCTCACCTGTCCCTTGTGAGGTCGCCGACCTGATATCTACATATATATATATATAAAGATATAGATACATATATGTATATATAGAGATATATTGCTACACTGAACACCGAATGAATTCCCGAATTTCGCTCACCTGTCCCTTGTGAGGTCGCCGACTCTATATATATATATATATATATATATATATAGAGAGAGAGAGAGAGAGAGAGAGAGAGAGAGAGAGAGAGAGAGAGAGAGAGCGATATATTGCGAGTCAGTTCGCAGTTTGCGACGTACAGTGTTCGAAGAGTGACAACTACGAGGTTATTCGCAGTTTTCCCAAGGTTAGACACATATTTCATTAAAGGCAGTTCTTTATTTCCACAAATGCGAGTGAGTTCGTGCTTCTTGAGCAACACTGCTGGAGAGTTGACAACCCAACCCGTGCGGCTTTCAGGTCTTCAGTTCCACAATTCCGAGTTAGTTCGTACTTTCCCCTAGTGCTGCGCATCGCCATTATTGTCTTGTCTACAGAACAGCGAGTTAGTTCGCACTTGTCGAAACCCTTCGCAATTGTCGATAAACCAGGACTTCAGTTCTACAATTCGAAGTCAGTTCGTACTTTGCTGTTGAACTTCGGGTTGCAATTGTCGTCCTGTCAGCAGAACAGCGAGTTAGTTCTCACTTGTCGATTCGCACTTGTTGATAAACCACATCTTACTCGTTTCGTGCGTCTTTCAGGTCTTCAGTTCCACAATTCCGAGTTAGTTCGCACTTTCCCCTAGTGCAGCGGGTTGCCATTGTTGTCTTGTCTACAGAACTGCGAGTTAGTTCGCACTTGTCGACACCCTTCGTACTTGTCGATAAACCACATCTTACTCGTTTCGAGGGCATTTAGTTGGGTCGCAATCTTTCCGAACAGTTATCGTCTTCCCTCCGAACTTTTGTCTCTCCTATCCTTCACCCGATTGTTGTGACTTCAAGTGCATTTCGAACACCCATCTCTTAGGTCCTTTTCGTCCTCCATTTCGTTAAGTCCGAGTTAGTTCGCACTTCGCTTCTGTAGTGGTCCGGGGTTGGGCGTATTAGTCATCCAAGTTGGTCTGAGGTTGGGCGTGCTAGTCAACGGGTGGGAATACAATGGCGTCCGCAAAGAACACATCCACAAGCGCTGGACCATCTGCCCCCGGGGAGGGACGACCTGTACAACAACCTACTCCTCTGTATATGCACGCAAAGGGAGCACCATGGTTTTTGGACTTTGTTGTTCAGGGGGACCTTTTTGGGCCAGCTGTTTTCATGGACCCACTTGCGTTACAGACGCTAGGGGAGCGGTCAACGTTGTTCCTCTCGGTATTGTCGTCTCGTGCGCGAAGACTCCTGGAGGTTTGCTCAAGCTGAACACTAACGGCTTCTACGACGAGTGCAGACTGCCTATCAGAGGTGTTAAATGTGTGCTGGTGACCATCAAGAGTTTCGCGGGGTACGGCTTGAACATGCTGTTGTGCTCTCACTTCAAAGGCCTTTACGATGGCGACAGCAAGTGTCTTCCATTGCCAGAGCAATATCTCGATCTCTCGCTGATGGTGCCCAGAGAACGTTCGGTTCTTCCGCCAGAGCATGTTTTTCGGCTTCTGCCACCCCGTGACGGGTTGTCCGGCTTGGCTCAAGAAACTCCAGGTACGGCAGTGGGGCGCGGGAGTCCAATTCAAGACGCTGGGGTTCGGGTCAAGGGCCGCAGAGTTCACATGCAGGTCGGCCCGGATGCTCCTAGGAACACGTCATACTTGCATTCTCTGGGTACAGGGACTCAACGACTCGGTACTCCGAAACTTATCAAGGTCCGCTGCGGCACCGACACATATTTGCTTCGAGATGAGACGAGAAGAGATTTCAAGCAGATCGGGGCTAGATGTTGGAGGGAATGAGGCTGAAGGGATGGGCGTTGTCCGCGAAAGCTCTGGCGGGGAGCAGACTCCTTCGGAGAAGAAGAGCGAGCGACAGAGGATGGTGCGAGAGGAGGTGGCGGAAGGAACCCTCCGCATGAAGAGGATGAGAGGAAAACCGGAGGCGGTGATGGGCGGGGATGGAGGTGGCGACAGAGAACGAGCCTCGGGAAAGAGGCCGACGAAGGAAGAGGGTGGGACGACAAGTAAGAAAGCGAGGAGGCCCGGCGGTTTGACCATCCGCGAAAAACAAGCCCCGGGTGGAGGAGATTCGGCTGATCCAGCCGCCGCGGCCGCGAGAGAACCTTCGGGGAAATCGAAACGGAAAGTGGCCGCTGAAGAAGGCGATGGCGAGAAGAAAACTCGAAGGCGGAAGACTTCTGAGGCGGCGAGCAGTGGCGAAGGGCCTCTCAGTAACGAGTACGACGAAGCGGCAGCGTTCTGGCTCGAATACGAGAGGGACGATGTCGGTGAAATCGTGGAGAAGGAGCTCCCTGTCCAACTGCTCATCGACCCCAGGAAGGTCTGCGAGATCCCGGCTTGGGAAAGATATTACAACCACCGCAGTCTAAGTCGCGAAACTGTGGACGACATCAAGGGTACGATGCTGAGTCAATTCCGCGAGAAAAAGTGGAAGATCTGGACGAAAAACCCTCTGGGTTTGGCACCCATCTACAAGTCGGTGACGCGTAGGCCGGAGAAAGCTGACAAGGTTCACAAAGATGTCTTCAAGCCAGAGGACAAGGACAAGTACTACTATTACCCTGTTAACGGACAACACACCATGGCTGCTGTGAAGGAGTTGGAGGGTGAGTCAATATTCAATTTGTGGAAGATGCACTCGTGGCCCGCGAGAATAGTGTGGTTCTCCGACCGAGATTTTGCGGGGTATAGGCAGGTCAGTCTCAACGAGAACACGAGACACAAGATGTCTAAGCAGCGATCGCAGAAGGCCGCGTTCTTGGACATGCGGGAGGCATGGGAGAATGAAGGAAGGCCGGTGRYCATTCAAGGGAACCCTTCYGGCAAGGARGCCGAAAAACAAAAGTTCTTCGATTTCCAAAAGCTGATTTTGGGAAAGAGTCCGAACGGAGCTCACTGGACGTTGGCACAAAAAGATTCGTCGCTCGCCGACAAGGAGTACGTCGCTGCAGTTGGCAATGCATTGAGGCAGTGGATGCCGCTCGTGACAGCCGGTGACGACGTTTTCCACAAAGCCATGGAATTCTACGCGAAATGGGCGGAGGGGAAGTTGTTGGGCGACGACGGCAAGACGCCATTGTCGAGGCCGGACAAATACATGCCAGACAAATCTCCGGGTCTGCAAGCGATTCTGGAAATGGGCTCGAAAGGGGCGGCTGGTGAAACGAAGATGGGGTGGCTGGTCCGGGTCCCGCCGCCTCCGACCAAAAAGAAAACGCAAGTGGACGACAAGTTTTTCGTGGTCGTGAAGGAGCCAGACATGTACTGTTGGCAGTGTCTCGCCGACATGACCGATGTCGAGAAACTGTCGATCCTTGATGACATTATCGCGCTAAGGGGAGTGTTCGTGCAATCCGCGAGCGGCCATCTGAAGCGTCAACACAAACCAGGAATTAAAGACATGGTCGCGACGAGGAAAGTGGACCGTGTGATGCTCCGTATGTTCCACTACATCTTGTTCCTTGAAACGGAGGAGGACGAACGTGTTTGGCGCCACGGGAGCCCTTTTTTTCGAACCGAGGGGAAGCTTCTGAAGGAGTACGGGCCGCAGGGCCTCACGAAACAGGTGTGGGTCGAAATGCGAAAGCATTTCCAGGGCGCGGTGGAGTACGTGAACACTTGCAAACGTACTCTTCCGCACTAGAAGGAGTCCCTCGACGACGCGAAGAAATTGTACGATGATGACAAGTTCCCTAAATCTTTCGAAAAGTCTGTCCGTTCCATCTTGCGACGGACGGAAGAAGAAGTTCGAGACACGATCATGGTCAGCGGGGATGTGAGGCACATCAAATAGCCCGACCTCAACCGGGTGACCAGCCTTATTCCTTTCGCTTTCCCGCCTTCCCAAGCTCACAGTCATGTCACTGCGATCCGTGAGGTTGTGCGACATTACGTGTGCAACCTGTACGTCCTCGATTTGTGTGATCCCACACTCCTCACAGACTGGCGAGAAGACGATTTTGCCAACTTGCAAGGCCTTCTACAAACACTTTCGCCAACGCACTGGGCACTTGTGATCTTTTTCCCCTCTCGTTGGGAGCTCAGTTTCTTGAAAGGCATGGCCAGGCTTAGCGTCCATCACGTCAGGACAGGGAAGTGGGTACATAATGCACAAAAGCAGGCCACTGTCCGGGAAGGCAATATGCTGGTTGAGGAGTGTGACCACCTGTACGTGATTTTCAATGGCGAGAAGCTGGAAGACAACACATTTGCAGTCTACCCGGCCACTAGCCCGACAAAGGCTTCCCGTGCTCATGGTCCAAGTCCAGCCAAACACACGGTGGCGGGCCCGTTAGGACAGGCTGTGGCGTGTTTCGACGTGGCGGAAGAGGAAAGGTTCTCTCGTAGCATGTGGGAGGACGGCGGCGTGACAAGTTGTCAAGGACCTGCTTACGGGGAGATTGAGCAGAACCCGTCCCGTCTACTTGGTCTACTCGTAAACTTTTGCAAAGCTGGTCAAACTATTTTTTTCTTTAGGAAGGCGTGTGCGTTTGTCGTGTGGGAACTCCTGCGCACCGGTCGGAACGTCGTCGCGTTGGAGAAGGAGGCGAAGATGATCGATTACCTTCACGAGTTCGTGAAGGCACGCGTTGCAGACACTCGCGAGTTCGCCCGCACCACCAGCGAACGAAACCGGGATCCCAAACATGATATGTACTGGAAATTGTCGTAGAACAAAAGGACGGACGTTTGGGACTTCCTTTTCGGACCCGGACCGCCTGGTCCGACCAACCTCGAATACAGTCGACGGAGAAACCTGGTGTTCGCTGTGCTCAATGGGTACCACGCTGCACCCAGGGAGTCTGTCTCGCACTTCTTGAGAAGGTTGGAGCACGTTTACTTCACGCTGGCCGAACCGCTCACTCTCAAAAACTATAAGTCACAGTTTGACAAGGAGGACCCTTTCGACGCTGACGACATGGAGGAGCTGAGCGACTCTGAAACCTTCGATTTCGAGTCCATGCCACTTCCTCGGGTGGTTGGACAGGTTGGTGATGGAGAGGAAGGTGGCCCTCGGAGATATAGCACGTCCCCTGCCGGCTTGAAGCGTGTGTTTCGGGGCGAACCAGTCGACGACCAATCGTCTGATGACGGGGAGGAAGACAGAGACTATGATCACGAACCTTGTGACAGGCTCCCTGTGGACCATGACACCTGGCAGAATGACAGAATCTACTTCTTCGGCAAGCATCACCGGTTCACGTCGGAGGATGTCTGGGGACACAACGTCGTCTGGCACCCGAGGATATTCCAACCTGCTGTGAGGAATGGAATATGGGTTATGGCAATAAAGGAGGCCGATGGCAAGTGGACTGGACTGAAGAGACTGGGAGCGGGTGCATTTAAGAGAAAGGCAAGAACTGCTCTGGTGGAGCATTTGAGTCTCATGAACCCCGAGAGGAACGATCAGGACGTCGATGCGTATGCAGAACAAAAGTTACATGAGTTGTACGCCAACAACATGTTGGAGTTTCGAGCGCCTTTCTACGCACTCGAAACGGCACCGTCTCGTGGCATTGATTGGCGCATGCCGCAACCTCCACCGGCCGGTCAGGATTTGGGAGGGGGTGGTGGAGGAGACGAAGGAGACGGCAGAGGTGGCGGAGGAGATGGCTCACAGTTTGCCGGAAAGGGGACATGCGAGACATCGTCGGTTGAGAAGGCGTCCGGCGGAAAGGGGTCGGGCGGAAAGGGGTCGAGCGGGAAGGGGTCGGGCGGGAAGGGGTCGGGCGGAAAGCGTAGAACGTCCGGGAGTCCGCAGTATATGGAAACAGACCCCCACTGCGTAGGGAGTCGAGATTCCGACATGCGAGACGAGGCCACCCTAACGTCTGATCAAGTGCGAGTAGATTCGCACTTGTCTGCGAGGAGTTCGTTTCCCGTTGCCCAGGAGAGTTCATCCCGCTGTGCGCAGCAGAGGTCTCCTGTGCTCAACACCTTGCTCCTGAAAGATGGCGCGTCTTCGTTTTGCCTGGAGGGCGGGATGCCTGCATTGCGAAGGAGCGAAGGTGCGACCTCCGGTTCCCTCGGCTCGGGCGACCGCCACAAACTCCGAATACACTCGGATTTGCTGCCGTCGCCCTACGCCATAAGTGCTCCTCACGTAACAGGTCCGCGGGGCCAAGAAAATGTGAGGTCTTGGCCCCCGCATCTTCAGTTGGACACAGGGTTACCCTGCTCGCCTCCTTTTTCATGTGTTCAGACTCGAGATTGGAGGTCTCGCGACGTGCTGGAGGGGCCCGCTCCAGGAGTGTTAAAGACCGGGGGTAGTGAGAACGAACGTCACACTCCAGAGGGAAGACAAGCGCTCTCCGGGAACGCGTGTTGTACATCGGGAACAGGAGACTCAACGCTGGCAATCTCGCAAAGTGTTGGAGACCGGGGGTAGCGAGTGTGAACGTCATGCTTCGGAGGGTGCGTCCGTGGACACTGACAGCGAGAGTGCAGGAGCTCCGGGGGAAACGCATGCTGTACAGCGGGGAGAGGAGAATCGACACGGGCCGGCTCGTGAAGACGTGAAGTGGCCCCACGCACGAGCGCTGGTGATCGGGACGTCCGAAGAGGTTCTGCACAGTCGCTCGGCTGTGGCCACGACGCGAGAGGGTGTCGTTAAGGGAGGTAAATGGACGTCCGTGCAAGCTCCCGTTCTTGGCGACGATGAAGACGGAGAAGAACCCGCGGTGGAAGCTCAGGTTCATGGCGATGAGAAAGGCGGTGAGGTGACTGTCGACATCCGAACGGATCCACAGCGGAAAGATGGTGATTCTTCGCCCACCCGTTGTGGTGAAGAACAGGGCGGTCGAGCGTCTGTCGTGAGCACCGCTCGGCGAATGGTGCTTCATGAAGCCATAGAGTTCGGTGACGACTCGGCAGCCACCGAGCTGGTTAGCGACTCAGGCGTTGCCGAGATGCAGAACGTCGAATCCTCCGTGAAAGACGGTGAGGTGACCGTCAGCATCAAGATGAATCCAGAGCGGAAAGATGATGATTCTCCGTCCACCCGTTGCGGTGCCGAACAGGGTGATCGAGCATCTGTCCTCAGTATTGGTCGGGAAATGGTGCTTCATGAACCCATCGACTTGCCAAGCGACTCAGCTGCCACCAAGCTGGTTAGCGACACAGCCGTGGCCGAGGTCCAGAACCTCGAATCGTCCGTGGACGTTGGCGCAGTGGCGCGACAGGAGGGCGAGTTCCCTCAAAGGGCTCCCGAGCACGGTAAGAATTGTGAATAGGACCACTCGCATATCTGTCACTGGCCAGATCTGTGTTCGTCCAAATTGATGTCATGGGCTAATGTACCTGTTACCACTAGTTAAAAAAAAGCTTGTGGGCTGTGGGTTGTTTTCTATGTTCTACAGGTGTGAGGTTGTTAATGTCCCTGCCCATGAAGCCTTTAAAAGTCGTGCGCGAGAAACGTCTTTCAGGGAGGTCATTGGCCGCTTCACCGAAGAAGTCGTTAAGTGTAGGGTTGTTTAAAAGGGTCCAGATGCCTCGCCTTTTCCAGAGAGCTGTCAGGGTTCTGAAGGCTTGTGGAATAGATAAGGAGGAAGGTCTGCAGAAACATTTGGCTGTGTCTATTGAGAGCGTTACTGCTTTATCTGACGGGTCTGATGACGATGGCAAACGAGGTGTCTTGAAAAACCCGTGTCCTAAGTACATCGCAAAGGACACATTCAACAAGCGGGGATACAACTTTTCTGGGAAAAGGGCAGACAGTTCTTAGTCATTCCACCACGGGGTTTGTGCTCATTCCTCACACTTGTTCGTGGGTGTTTGTGCCACTGGGGCTACATCATGTTTTCGCGTTCCGTTGCCTACTGAGGAGCTTAGCGCTACGGACTTGAGAATGTTGCGGAACGTCTGTGGAGATTACAGCAACGGCCACGAGGTGGTGTGCTTGGTTCGCAAAGGACCCAGTTCAATTCCGTTGAGCAGAAAAAGTCTTCAAACTCTTGTTCAGGGGGAATGGCTTTCCGACGAGGTGGTGGAGTCGTACTTGGCCTTGCTTGCCAACGCTGCGTCGCCTGGGTGTCCCTCTCTTTACATTTTCAGTCCATTTTTCTATACCAAGCTCTTCCGTGGCGGCTATCGACATGATAGGGTTGCGAGATGGACAAAAGATGTGGATATTTTCTCGCACGAGATGGTCTTGATTTCTGTCCATAAACATGGAGTGCATTGGACCCTATTGTGTCTCCGAGAACAACGGCTGGAGCACTACGACTCCCTCGTACAAAACGATGGCGGTTTTTCTTCCGATGTGATTGGGAACTTCACGCAATACCTCCGTGACGAAGCAGTTTGTCATTATGGTCCAAAAACGAAAGTGGATCTTTAGGAGCCAAAGGTGGTTGTTCGTGGTGTCCCTCAACAATCGGATGGGTCGAGTTGCGGTGTTTCATGCTCGCCTTCGCTTCATTTCTTGCACGCGGCTGTCCGCCACCATTTCCGATAGCCCAAAGCGACATTCCAAACATCCGGCTGAGGATTGCGGTGGACATACTTCAAGGCGCTGAATGATACCACTGTTGTAAAAATACGCCTAGTTTTTTTTTCGAAATGCCATAAGCAGAAGTGCCAATCTATTCCCACTTGATCTTGCAGTCAGTCGGTTTGAGTTGTGTTGTTGTTTTCATGAGGTGCCATATTGCAGTGGACGTTTTGGTCAAGTACAGGCTTAGGTGTCAATGTGAATATCCCAGCCTTGTGCTGTATCAATTTTTTAAGGGTTCTTCATTTCGTGGAACCTGTCATCTTTACTCGTAGGACTTTCGGTAGCGCCGTGCTTCCTTTGTTTGTTTTCGGGTTGTTCTCATTGCTTGCCACGCAACATCAGCTAGAGGGTAGCAGCGGACGCTTACGTGAAGTAGAAGCTTAGATGCCGATGTAAATATCCCAGTCACGTGGTGCAGTTCCTTTTAAGTAGACGCTTACATATCGGATGTGAATATCCCAACTTCGTGCTTCTTTTGTTTATTTTCGGGTTGTTCTCCTTATGTCCTCTCAGACCGTGGCAACACCGTGCTGCGTTTGTTCGTTTCGATGTTGTGTTTATCTTTTACTCATGTGAAAGATATCGACGATTTATTCTTAGTCGCCAAATTGTTTCGTGCTTATCTCTTTCGTTCGCGAGACTTTGTGGTATGAAAGTCCCTCTTCTCCGCCCCACCCCGACCACCCAGCTTTCATATGTTTTGGTTCGTCCTTGTTCTGCGTGTGCCACCCCGTTTTACGGTTCACGCTCTCTGCTTGTCTCGATTGAATGTTGTCTGTTGGTTCCTTATGACAGTTGCGAACTTGTTCTCCATTCGGAAACCAATTGTCGCCAGAATGTATGTGTGCTTGAAGTTGTTTTACAGATTTAGCGGTGCAATGAGTGATCACCAATTTTGTTATACTCGGAATACATCTCGTGCTCTCCACGGAATGCTGGCTGTTGTTTCCGTATGAGAAATGTGAACATATTCGCACTTCGGATGTCGTACATTTGTGATTGAACTGTTGGTTCCATGTGAGAAATGAGAACATATTCGCACTTTGGCTCCATGTACTTTGTGATATTTGGAAAGCCTCCGTGCACTTTGCAATGTGAGATTGTATGATATTTCGCGTTCAATGACTTTTTGAAACGTCTCTGTGTGCTTTGCAATTTGCTCTCGAATGAATTTCCTGCATTGAATGGTTTTTGGTACCTGTTCGTGTGATGTGACACTTCACCTTTGGAAAAACACTAGGCAACTTGAGATGTCTTCACCTCCATGTTTGCGACGTCTCTGTGTGCTTTGCAATTTGACTGGTGCGTGAAGTTGTTTAACGGATTCAGCGGTGCACTAAATGATTGCCAATTTTGTTATCCCCGGAATACATCTCGTGCTCTCCACTGGATGCTGGTTGTTGTTTGCATATGAGAAATGCGAACATATTCGCACTTTGGATGTCGTGCATTTGTGATTGAACTGTTGGTTCCATATGGGAAATGAGAACATATTCGCACTTTGGCTCCATGTACTTTGTAATTTTTGGAAATCCTCCGTGCACTTTGCAATGTGGCATTGTATGATATTTTGCGTTCACTTTGGAAAGTCTCTATGCTTTGCAATTTGCCCTTGAATGAATTTTCTGCATAGAATGGTTTTTGAAAACTGATCGTCTGCTCTGAGACTTCACCTTTGGAAAAACAGTGCGCAACTTGAGATGTTTTCACCTCGATGTTTGCGATGTCTTTGTGTGCTTTGCAATTTAACTTCAGATGTTTTCATCTCGATGTTTGCGATGACAAGAGATACTTGTATGAATGGATATGAATCTTCTACACAGAAAGATTTGATGGCGTTTTCAACCTGTGATATAGAAATGACAAGCCAATGTTTAATTAAATCGTCGCGCTGATGGACTGCGCAACTGGTTCTCCATCAAAGTGCGAGTTCAATCGCACTTCCGGTGTGAGCCCTGAGCTATTCCCTCGCACTTTGCTTCACGTCGAGGAGGGGATCGAACGCACTGCCTGTAAGCACCTGCACATCACGAAACAAGAGCACGTCCCAATTGGAACATCGTCGGGTCCTCACCTCATCGACTCTCAAGATGACTACAGCCAACAGCGGTAGGATGGCAGGTCCGCCTATCCGATGTGGATCTCACGGTGGAGTGCAAAACTCTGCTCTTAAAGATCCACACCAGGTAGAAGTTCCTGCAAGCAGCCGCTGCTTGCTTGTAATGCATCTTATGATGTGTCAATATAACTGACATCCAGAACTGCTTGGTGAGCATCTAGTGCTACGCCAATAAGTTCCAAACACGGCAGCAAAGTCCCCTAAGAGTGTTCTTTGCCGGGTCCTCACCACATCGACTCTCAAGATGACATCAGCCAACAGCGGTAGGATGGCTGGTCCGCCTACCCGATGTGGATCTCACGGTGGAGTGCAAAACTCTGCTCTCAAAGATCCACATCGGGTAGAAGGTCCTTTAAGCAGCCGCTGCTTGCTTGTAATGCATCTTATGATGTGTCGATATGACAGACATTCAGAACTGCTTAATGAGCATCTAGTGCTACACCTATATGTTTCAAACACGGCACCAAAGTCCCCTGACAGTGTTATTTGCCGGGTCCTCACCTCGTCGACTCCCTCAAGATCAGTATAGCTGACAGCGGTAGGATGGCAGGTCCACCTATCCGATGTGGATCTCACGGTGGAGTGCGAAACTCTGCTCTCAAAGATCCACACCGGGTAGAAGGTCCTGCAAGCAGCCGCTGCTTGCTTGTTAGGCATCTTATGATTTATCGATATAACCGACATCCAGAACTCCTTGGTGAGCATCTAGTGCTACGCCAATAAGTTCCAAAAACACGGCAACAAAGTCCACTGAGAGTTTTCTTTGTCGGGTCCTCACCTCATCGACTCCCTCAAGATGACTACCGCTAACAGCGGTAGGATGGCAGGTCCACCTATCCGACGTGGATCTCACGGTGGAGTGCGAAACTCTGCTCTCAAAGATCCATACCGGGTAGAAGGTCCTGCACGCAGCCGCTGCTTGCTTGTAAGGCATCTTATGATGTGTCGATATAACCGACATCCAGAACTGCTTGGTGAGCATCTAGTGCTACGCCAATATGTTCTGAACACGACCGCAAGGTCCCCTAAGAATGCTTTTGGCACTGGAGTCCTCTGACCGCCGACTGTTTGGCACTTTGTGAAGGTTGACACTTCTTGAAGGTGGTCTACCACTTCTTAAAGGTGGTCAGTCACCAAACAGATCACGACCTGACATCGAACTCGATAACTGCGAATTGACTCGCTGTTCAACTGAAGTCTCTCTCTCTCTCTCTCTCTCTCTCTCTCTCTCTCTCTCTCTCTTTCTCTCGTTCTGTCCTCTCTCTCTCTCTTTCTGCCCTCTCTCTCTCTCTCTCTCTCTCTCTCTCTCTCTCTCTCTCTCTCTCTC